AGAGGGAAGCGGCCCCCCCGGGGGAGCCAGCCGCGGGTAGAGCGGGGAGTCGCCCGCATCCCCTACCTTTAAAGAGAGAGCAAGAGAAGAAGAAAAAGAAGAACAGGAAGAAAAAGGGCTACGAGAACGTGGACGTCAATGGGTTCGTGGAGCACCTGAAGGCGGCGTCCCGCGGCGGGCAGGCGGGGGCCGCGGACAGCGCCGAGGCGCGGCGGGAGGTAGCGCTGGCCCTGAGCAAGGACAGGCGGCGCGAGGGGAGGAGGCTGAGGCGGCGAGAAGCAAAGAAAAACGCCATGGTGAGCTCTCTCTGGGGCTGTGCGGCCTTTTCCATGCGTAGCTTCCCAAAGGCTGGGAAATAAAGCTCCGTTAAACTTAAGTTTTTACCTCAGGAATGGCTCTGCTGGCTGCTTTCTTCTCGTTGCACTTGACAGGCTGCCCAAGCCGCCTCCTTCCCTAGGCAAGTGAAATATGAGCCACCTCCTTATATAATTCATTTGCACAATATTCCAGCGTACCGTTGTACTTCCTTGCTCTTCTGGGGCCTCTGGCTGCAGCGTCCTCTGCTTGGGAACTGACGTGATTTTTCCAGCTAACTCCGAGGCTGGGTGAAAGTGGTTACGTGTTTGCGAGTAGCACCTTGCACCCTGTGTACAGTAGTGAAGAGGCCTAGTAATTTGTCTTTGCTTATTTATAGGGACTGGTACAACTTTCTTGGTGTTAATTTTAGCACCTGTTGCAGTAGTATTTAACAAACTTGGGGAATTGTGCTGTAATTTAAGCCAAATATCCTTGAGCTACAGAGTTCTGCTTTGATGAGTGGAGATATATATATATGTATGTATGTATAGTGCCGTACTGTGGAAGAAAGAAAAAAAGTACATGTAGTGGTGGTGTTAGACTACTGACAGCCAATTTGTGACCTGGTGTGCTCTCTGTTATGTCTAACTTCTTGAAGCACTTTCTCCCTGAGAGAAAATCCCTTGGGCTATTTCTGTCTTCTAGAAGGCCCAAAGGCCCTCATATACTAGGAATTTCCTGTCTTTGAGAGTTGTTTATGAAATCTTACTATTTAAGGTTGCTTTTCACATTACAATTAATTCAGTTCTCAACAGTAGAGATATGTATTTGGTAATGCCCTCTGGGTCTTGGCCAAGAGAATAATGGTTTAGTGAAAACTCGACGTAAGTGCTAATTATATATTAGGGATAGGTTACATCTTTAGGAATGCAGTCTTTGGCTTTGTGAACTGCTTGTGAAAATGTATGTAACTTAATTTTTATTTTCGAAGGTGTGTTTCCACTGTAGAGAGCCCGGCCATGGGATTGCTGATTGCCCAGCTGTACTCGAAAGTCAAGATATGGGTACAGGAATCTGTTACCGCTGTGGATCCACAGAGCATGAAATCACCAAGTGCAAAGCAAAAGTAGATCCAGCTGTTGGTAAGATTCAGAAATTTGTATTTCTCAAAGAAGTGCTTTGTGCAGGTTTTCTGACTATTGAAATATAGGCTTTGTTTTTTAGTAAGTTAACTGTTCTGAGGATATAAAGTGACATGTTTCAAGGAATACATGACTTTAACAATGACTATTACAGTCATTGTATTTTCTAGGGAAAATTATGATTTTACGAAGTTCTTAATCTGCATCATAAATTGTATGGGATTTTACAGGACCCTTTCCATATGCAAAATGTTTTATCTGTGGTGAGATGGGGCATCTTTCAAGGTCATGTCCAGATAATCCCAAAGGATTATATGCTGAAGGTGAGTGTAACAATTTTTATTGCAATAGAAACATTAATTTTATGCTTAGCTAAGAAAGAGCAAAGGAACAGGTTCGTGTACAGTACTGGAAGTGAGTGGACGGTTCTACTAGAAAGAATTTCTCAGTATCTTTTACTGTAGATAAAAGTAGATGCCAGTTTAGGGGGAATCTAGTGTTAAAAAGTAGATGCCAGTTTAGGGGGAATCTAGTGTTAATCTTCATTACCTAAGAATGTCTGCTTTAATTGTAAGTTTAAAAAAGCAGCTCACATTCAAAGTACACAAACTTACTCATCGCAATTTCAAGAGGAGAAGGAAATGTGGCTAACTAGATTCCATATGTTAAAGTGGAGAAGGACAAACTTTGGAGCATCTCACAAACTGCAAAAGGTGATTTTAAAAAATTAAATTGGAAGAATAATTAGTTTAGAGATATTGCACTCTTAAATATTCAGATGATGAGTAAAATTCATATTTCATTCAGTACCTCTATTGGGATTTCATACCTAGCAGCAGCTCCTATTAATTTCAAAAGTTACTTTGATTTATTGTGTTTCTGCAGAATTCAGATTCTTTTTTTCCCAAAGACAGTTTCTAAGAAATGCGGAGCATTCAGTACGTGGTCTTTGATAGTTGTAGCATTCAGAGCTTTACAGAGCACTGTGGTTACTAAGGGCTCAGAGACAGGGATAGAGAGGAAGGGGAAGTGTGGGTGTGCAGGCTCCTAAAGCTGGCTGCTCATCTGCTCCCCTGTCACATTACTGTGTCCAGGAATATGGACTATCTAAAGGGAGAGTTCTTGATCTTAGCTTGTACCGATCTTTGTATGTGGTGTGTATACAGATTTTGTTGCTACAAAATAGTAAAACAAGAGTTTACAATGTACACAGAGGAATAAAACAAATCCCCCTTGGATGAATGAAAACTTTCTGTTTTAAAAGGTGGCTGCTGCAGACTTTGTGGCTCTGTGGAGCACTTCAGGAAAGACTGTCCAGAAAACCAGAACTCAGGTGAGATGCAAAGTAGCGATGCACAGGGGAGTTTCAATGCACAGTTGAGTAACTTGCATTTACTACTTTGATTAGCTGTGGTCAAGATAAAAAAGGTCTGAGAAATGTTCCTGAAAGTACAAGGACAACTTTCCTTTAGGAATGTGCACATATAGTAAGGTGGGGGAGAGGAAGTTGCTGTGCAAAACTTGAACTTCTTATTAGAAGAAAAAAAAAAAAGTCGTTTTCTGAAGATAGTATGAGCTAGAGTATATTTGTTAATGATGGCAGTACTTAGTCTTGCTATAAAATTTTGTCTTTTTTTCTACAGATCATGTTACGCTTGGGCGATGGACCAGTGGAATGAGTGCAGATTCTGAAGAAATTATAGAAACACCAAAGCTGCAAAAAACAAAAGTGAAAGGACCTAAAATTGTTAATTTCTGAAGGCCACTCCTGAACACCAAGCTGCAGTAACCCTGCATTGCTTCACTTCAGAATAGTGACTGCGCTGGATTGCTGGATCCAGTAAATCAACCAGACTGATGTTGCTAAATTTTCTTTTGTATTCCTAATTTTTCCACCTTGCCTCCCATACTCACTCATCTTAATGTAAAGCTGGGAGAAACAAATACGCAGCAGGCAGGTACTTTATTTTTGGGTGTTTATGCAGAAGTAGAGCTCTCCCTCTGAACAGGGCTCCCTCTCACTACCAGCCCTCTGAAGAGGGAAATCTCAACACAGGGATCTTGCAGTAAACACCCAGGGTAGGTGTAGTTTATCACAGGGATATTCGACCACTGTGTTCAGGTGACCAGTAGTGTTGCCTTAGGCTACTGCTTACATGGCAGAGATGAAGGCAAGCATGCTGCTGTTACTAATTTTTTCTACATTTCTGTCAAAAAGATCTTGGATATTTCCTAAGTGCAGATAGTTTGGGCCTCTGCTTTTGGGAAGGACTTCTTACTCTTCATGTGCAAGCTTGGACAGTTTGATATTAGAGATATCAAGCCAATCCTACAGCCTCAGTATACAGGCTGTCATACATGGTAGATCAGCTCTGTCAGTGAGATGATTAATTGCAGTGTGTGTGTCTTGAGTCACCAAGAGGAGCGCAAGCAGACCCTTCCTCTGATAGCCATGGTGAAACACAGCTGAAACCAGTTGGAAAGCAAGGAAACTGCTTGGTTGTTTTCCCTCCTTTTTTTTTATTTCCAG